TCAAAAGTCAATACGTGTACGTCATCTAATTTGAAACTAAGGGCCTGTTCACTTTAGCTCCTAAATTTCTCCTCTCATAAAATATTCGTTTCAGCTCAGTTCAGTTCAGCTTCAATCAGTTCAGTTCACTTCAATTCTGCTCAGTTCAGAAATGTGAATAGGCTCTAAGGGCCTGTTCTCTTCTGTTTAATTTCAGTTCAATTCAACTCCAATCAGTTCAATTCAGTTCAGCTTAGTTCAGTTCCTAATTTTCTTCTCTCATAAAATATTCAGTTCAGTTCAGCTCCAATCAGTTCAGTTTAGTTCAATTCAACCTAGTTCAGTTCAGTTTAACTTAGTTCAGCTCAGTTCAGTAAATCAGAAAAAGTCCTAAAACACTTAAATTATCTACAAAATGTTTGAATTCTAATTTTTTTGTAAAAGGTGGGGTGAGTTGGCTGATTTTGTGGAGTGGTTTGAAAGGAAAAGGTGGTTTTTGGTGGGCAAAAAGGGTGCTTTCTGGCAAAAATGGGGCGATTTATAGTGAATTGGGTACCTAGGTGGTGACCGCATACTCTTACATGCATCTTCATGCATGCAAGATAGATGCATCACCTCCAATAGCAGCATTATATTAATAGAACACATGCCACCTTCATCTTCCTTCTTTCTTAATTTTTCTTCCTGCAATTTTCTTCTTTTGTTTTTCTTAGTTTTTTCTTTCCTTTTTTTCATGATTCTTACTTTACTTTCATTTTCTCTCTCCTCTTTCTTCGCTTCCACGTTCATTTTCTCTCTCCTCTTTCTTCTCTTTTATTTGATATTTTCACTCTCCTCCGTTTTCTTTACATTATAAATTGGTTGTTATTACTGAAGAAATTATCAATATAGGTTAGTTTATTTATGTTGTAGCTTTTTTAATTAGGTTATTTTTTGCCTAAATTTGTGATTGATTTTCTGATTTTATAATTTGAAGAATATCAATTTGAGAAATGTGATGAATTTTAATTGACTTTTTTGATGAACATTATGAATTAGATTATCTCAATTGAATTTTTGTATTTATTTTATGAATATTAATTTAATTAATGAGCAGTTGATATTTGCGGTGAATATGATGAATTTCGATTGACTTTCTGAATTTGAGACAAATTATCATCAAATTGTTGCATCTGTTATGATTTCGTTTGTTATTATGAATTTTATTTAATTTATTAGGTTTCTATAATTTGTGTATAATTTTTGGGAAAACAATAAATACGTATTACTCTAAAATTGAATATTTAGTACAAATTGGACATTTATGTGGCGAATTTGTGCTTAAATTCGATTGATTAAGTTTTATTTGATTTTTTGATCATATGAATTGAATTTTGTTAGCTTCGATCAATTTTATCTGTGTATGAATTTCATCTGATTTTCTGCATTTTTTTTTATCAAAGAACATAATCATGTAAAATATGAACATATGCATAGGTCCCCTTAAATGTGAACATTAGCTTTTTAGAAAGTGAACATAGGCATAAAAAATATGAACATATACATTTCAGAAAGTGGACATAATAATTCAAAATATGAGCATAAGCATTGGTTTCCTTGGAGTGAATATAAGCATTTACAAGGTGAACATATGCGTAAAAAAATATAAACATATGCATTTAAGAAAGATAACATATGCATAAACAGACTTAATGAGAATATTTCATGAACAACACATATTTACATTATGAATATTTGAAATTATCTATGAACATATAAAATATTATTATGAATATAAGACATTTAATTATGAACATAAAAATCGAAGAAATAAAAAATTATATGATTATGAAATATATGCATTATAAGTATTAAAAATATGTACATATTAAAAAAATGTGAATTTATAAGTTTCAGAAAAAGAACATAATCATGCAAAATATGAACATATGCATAGGTTCCCTTAAATGTGAAAATTAACTTTTCAGAAATTGAACATATGCATAAAAGAAGATCACAAACTAGTTATTTATTTAAGTAAATATAAAAATATGATATTTCATTATAATTTTTTCTAACGGATAAATCACAAAAGAAGATCAAAGAGAAGTGTGAATGAAAATGTCCAAATGGTGCAATTAAAGAATGGGAAAAAGTATTTAACAAATTATATAAAATTATTTACGTATTAACAAATTACATAACTATTTAACAATTATATAAATAAATAATTTTTTTAATTATCATTTTGCCCTGGGCCTCCAAAATGTCAAAAACGGCTCTGGTTCTGGTTTTATCTGTGAAGCATTTTGATACATCCCAAGATCAGGGGAGAGCATGAAGGTGGTTTTTAAGAGGGGACAAGTAAGAAAAGGATGACAAATATGAGGGTCAAAGGGGAAAGGAAAGGGGAGTTCCAAACGAAGGATCTAATCTTTAGGGGCAAAGCGCCCCTCTCTTAGCCATTTTAACCTAATTAACTGAAGCAGATGCAGGAGATGAATCCGAACATTGAGAAAATAAGGAAACATCGCAAAATTTCTAGCATTATTAAGGTCAAGTTTGCCAAAATCACTACCTTTTGTTCACAATATAATTAATCTAAAATTTAATGCCACTAGTTCACTACCTTTGATTGAATGACAAAAACACACATAAGAAAGAAAAGGTGTATCATTAAAGTTACGATTTAAGATAAGCAACCATGGCATACCTTGCGGGACTTATGACCACGACTTCGAGATCCAGAACCAGAACCAGAACCAGAGGGACAAGATCCAGAACCAGAGGGACAGCCGACCTGTGCAAATTCAATGAAGTTTAATCAGAGTCCGCTATCTCAGCATACAGGAATTTTTGGTGACTCTATCTTAATCTGACTTGTAAAATCATCGAGGACTACCCATCACAAATGATAATTTATTTCAAATTTTTCCAAAAACTTGTAAAATTATTGAGAATGTAATTCATGATAAATTATTTCGAAATTTGCCAAAAACTTGTAAAATTATTCAGAATGTAATTCATGATAAATTATCAAAATAGCTTGGGATGAATGAATTTGCATCTTTGGATGTGTTTATACCATTTATCCCAATCTTTGAATGTATCTCCGCAGGTTCCACAGCTTTTCACAAAGTGCGTCTCCTCCATTTTTTGATGTTATTTCTTTTTCGAATGAACCCTAACCTATTACTTTTTTTTTTCTTTTCTTTTGAGTACCAGCTAGGCAATGTTAGGCTATTAATATTTAACTAGTAATTACTAATAAGATATAAAGTATAAAGAATTGAAATAAGGTTTTTTTTTTTTTTTTCATGTGCCATTTTACCTGATTTGCTTTTCGTAGATATAACTATTACGATATGATATACATATTTAATTTAATGCATAAGAAAGATTTGTTTTTGTTTTTATTTTCCATTGTCATAAAACTTTTATTTTAAGCCAATCAGAACAAAACTTGTGTAACAAAGAATTTTAACAATTCTCCATTTCATATTATTTGCAATTTATTTTTATTTTTTTTACGGGAACTTTGGGGTATTATTTGTAAAATATATAAAATATTTCAAAGTTCCAATAATATGTAATAGAGGTACGATTAGATTTTGTTTAAAAATTCTCTAAAAATCTTATATTCACAATTGTTTGATCCACTTAAGTTAAATAAAATATTTTTTCCCGAAATATTCTCTTCCACATAATAACAGATATGTTATATATTTAAAACAAAACTGAGTTGAAATTGTAGTTAAGAAATATGATTGCAAAGTAGAATGAAATAAAATAGATTGAAATGTAACATGTATGTACGTAGTATATGGAATAATATTTATTTTGTAGAAAACATGAAAAACAAATAATTGTAGATTTTGTCAAATCTTTTTTTTTTAAAGTAATACTCTTTACTGTATTTTTAAAAAAGGTAAATCATTATATTTCTATAATATTTTTTTTCTAATTTCTTTATTTCAAAAATAAAAAAAAAATAAAAAATCAAAGACACACCATATAACACGTGTCTTTGCTGGTGTGTCTTCTATTATTATTATTATTATTATTGTTACTATTATTATTACTATTACTACTACTACTATTATTATTATTGTTATTATTATTATTATTATATAGTTATTATAGTTATATTATTATTATTATATTATTATTGCCATGGTAATTTTCAATAACCATTATTAAACTACGATTATAATTAGTTTTTTTTATAAACATTCTAAATATATAGTTGACAAATTTTAATTGTAATAAAGGATTATAAAAGATATGTTAGATATAAAATGATGTAGAATGATTAAAATTATGTTAATATTTTTTTTATAGCTATAGAAATATTTGTGTGAAACATATGCCAAATCTTTTTTTATTTTAAGTAATTATATTGTATAAGATTAAGGAATTATTTTTGTACAAGATTTGTTTCTTTAATTGAATTTTATTCAGCAAAAAAAAAAAAAAATTAAGGGGGAGGGAAGAAAGGGGTGGGGTCGAAAACAAGGATTAGAAGGGGAGGGGCACCAAAAACATGGACGGGAAGGGAAATAGTGTCGAAAACAAGGATAGGGACTTGGGAGGGGGTTTCCGGTGGGGGTGGTCTGGTGGAGGGGGGCAAGTGGTTTCCAGTGAAAGGGGGCTGGGTAAAGGGATTTTTTATTTTAATTTTAAGATTTTTGTTTGAATTAAAATCATCATTATTATTTAAAAAAATGTTAAAACAAAAAAAAAAATCTTAACAAATGACAACACAACACGTGCAATGTAACCTGCAAAACAAATTTTGGTGTTTTTTTTAATTTATTTTTTTAACCAATTAATTTGTGACACGTGTCACTTTAACCAAAAAAAAAAATTAACCCAATAATCCAAAGTTGAGATTAATTAAACTAAATTGGTAAAAGTTGGGATTAAAAAACAATATTAATCCTTTTTTTTATTGATCGATTTTTGCTTTTAGCTGCTACTTATGTATCTTCTTAAATTTTCCCCTTGGTGGGGTTTTTCAAAAAAAAAAAAAAAAAAAAAAAAAGTTGATAAATACTCGTATAATTGTACTCCATATAATCTCAAAAAAAAATTATACTTCGTATTATATTAGAAAGTTTGTAAAAAAAGAGAGAAGTTTAGGATAGAATTGTGGATTTTTTTTATACACTTCTTCCGCCCATAATTATGTGTTACAAAGGAATATTTCATATCTCACAAATAATACCCCTTTGTTACACATAATTGTGGGCGAAAAAAGTATGTAAAAAGGTGCACCATGCCAAGATTTGGATAGAACAAGGTTTTGGAGAAATTTGCAAGGCAGTGAGCCACCTTATTTCCCTTCCTTGTAATCCAAGGGCTATCAAAATAAAATTATAATAAATAAATCAATAAAAGTGCAGCAAATTAACAAGCATATGTAGCGCAACTAGCTAAATCCAGCAACACATCAACGGTTGGTTGGTACCATACAAATTCTCCTTTGAATCCCCACTCCCTAGAATGTGATACATCTTGGTGTTTAGAGAGTAGAAGACGATATTATTCCCTACTATCTTCGGAAGGTAGATTCTGTTTCTCATCGTAGGATCACTTGGTACTATTGAATAACACGATGTCTTGCTAATAAAGAAAATATGATTTCCTATATCATCAATTACAACCCAACTCTTGTTAGTGCCGTTGAATCTAAACACTTGAACCCGGCATTTTTCAATCCTGTAGACGAATACTATGTAGAGCTCTCCTTCACAATCGACTAGATGACACGACTCGAAATCATCATCCACATTGTCCGGCATACCATAAACTTGCCAACATGGTTCGTCGTCGTTTACTATTTCAAACACACCGAGATTTCCCGAGCAATCTGGGAAGTAGAATGCTCCCCCAAGATAGGTAGGAGCACATTCAGTAGGCCGAAATTCTACATCTTGATCGTCCATGTCAAAATCAAATTCTTCCCATGTCTCATCCCCTGATTGAAGGTAACATAGTCTCAAAAACTCAGGATACTTCAACAATGCAACCGTCAAACAATCGGAGCTTGTTGGATCCGATGAGAATGCAATGCTTCTGATGGCACATACCACACATTCATCGAAGAGTGGTGGAAAAACTCCTGTGACCCCCGTGAAGAGGTTGTAGAATTTCAAATGGTACTGAGCAACTAAGCAAATTAACCACCCATTTTTAGAGAATATCAAGGTAAAACGATCTTGAGAGAATGGAACTAGGGTATTGGAGCATATAATATCGCTTCGACACGGGTCCATCAACTTGCACAATCCAACTTCATTCTTAAAGAACAAGAATAAGGGAAACTCGTTGTTGGTTCGCCATCGAGGTTCAGGGAGTGCTGTATGAAACATCTTACAGCTAGCGCGGAACTTCCAGTACTCAAACAAATGCATGTATTTTGGAAGCGATCTTATTATATCTAATGGCAGCTTATCAAACCAGCAACAACTACTGTCCTCCTCCTCTGCTGCTTCATTAATATTATTGTCATCTTCGTGTTCATCAATTTGAGTTCGTTGTTGGTTTGGAATGTTCTTGGCTTGTAACCTTGGCATGACGACCCAAACAGGACTGTCATCGTACTCGTCAGGGCTTACCAAGTTTGGGGAGGGAGAAACAACGGTCCAAGTTTGATCAACTAGGTTGGTTGAAACTATAAAATTTCGCTCGTTGTTTCTTTCACTTGAAAAAGTAAAGCAGAGGCAATTCTCTTGAATACCACCAACTTTGGTATTATTACCCCAACACCAAGTACTACCATCACGATTCAATATAAAGGCTCTGCCATTCAAACTCTTCAACTCCATCCAATTCTTTTCCATTAAATTCAGCTCCCATGCCTTTATAGCGACAATGTTGTTTAATTCTCGATAGTTATTGATAGAACGCTCAAGTATCTTTGCACAGTATATACGGCCACAAGATTCAAGCAAACATTCAATAAAAAAATCAAATAACGTCTCTGAATCTGTATTCGGCATACCAATCTGCAAGGGCCGTATGGTCAGCGTGTTCAGTTCGTCGACTATATAGAATATATCACGGCTCACGGGATCTTTTACATAGGAAGAACCATGTATAACCCCATTGAGAGTAACCAGGTTTGATATACGTACTTTCGTCCCGTCTTCAAGCTCAACACTTTGTACGACCCAACTACACGTATCAGCCCAAGGCCGGCAGAAAAATAACAGGCCAGCACTATTAAAGACCAATAAAAACATACAATTATCATCATCAGCATCAACAGTAGCAGGATAAGGAGATGATGTTAGAAAGCACTCAGACAACCTTCCAGGCACATCATCAGTTGGTAACCGCGGAAGAGTTATGGTCCGTAAAGTTGTAATGTTGAATAAAGAATAGATGCACCAGTCCTCCTGATTGCGTAGAATTAACCAGCCATGAAAAAAAGCAATTGCGTCCTTGTGACACAATTCAGGGATACTTTTCATGTAGGATTTCGAGTCACCGGGCGAGTAAAAAGCCTGGAGTTGTTCACACTCACCGGAGTCACTATCATCATGGTCATGTGTATACAGAAGCCAAGGTGTTTGTGTTTCCTCAAGAGAGAGGGCCGTGATTCGTCAACCTCTTTTTGGTTCATTGATGATTAACAACTTACTCGAGCACACAACCTTAGGATTTTACGATTAGCGTCTGTAATTTGTGATTCTATTGTGGCTCCTTCATAAAACAAAGTGCGAATTTATACAACTTTTTAGTTGTTCACATCAACTTAAACTAGGAAACAAATTTAATCAAACGTAAGTCGGCAACAATATTTTAGGATATTAATTAATTAGCTTCCTAAACCAAAACCACCAACTAACACAAACATATCCTTAAATTAGGAAACAAAATCCTTCTTGATTTTATTATCAAAAGATTTTTTTTTTTTAAGAAAACTTCAAAAGATCTATCAAAAAAAAATCTTGATCGTTTCCAAAAAAATAAAAATAAAAACTTGATATTATTATCTTTTACTCGTATAAATCAAGCAGCAAATAATTCGTTATAACATATCTATGTACAGTACACCTCCTATCATATTAGGACGGCAAAATAAATTTATCTTCACAACCTTACACAGAATTAAAATTTTAAAAATGAATACCTGTGTTATTTTATGTATGCAGGTATTACTTCTGCTTCGTGCCGGAGCACCGTGTATGCTACATTGCCACCGCCTTCTCGGCCTGAGATAAACCTCAACTAATTAGGTCCAACACTCAAAACATTGTGGAGATGAAGATTAAAGATAATTATCGATAATTTATAAGGAATGATAATTTCAAAAAATATATGACAAGTTTTTAAGAGTAATCGGTAAAGTTTGAGCACCAATGTCAACTGTATGTCTCACCGAGTTGAAGTAACAGTAAAATAACAACATATGATCAATCCCTTCAATTTGCTACAACAGGGATATTCTATATTTCTATAACAAAGAGCTTCCAAGTTACATCTCTTTGTCGATTTATTGAAAAAATTGTTCAATGATTTAACAGCGTAATGAATATATCTTTCTAAAATGAGTCTGTAGTTTTTTCCAGGTATTATCTAATTATATTCTTGGAAGTTGGCATGACCCGTTGCTTGTGCATGTTCCACAGCCTCCTGCAGTGACGACAGTAAAGAATTCGAGCATCATCAGAATTTGCATTAGGAGACGACACCGAATATTATATGAAGTATGCCGCAAAATAAACAATGTAAGAGATCCTACCTTCTGTCCTTTAACTCCGATTTGGCAGACTCCACAACGCAATGTGAAGTTGGCAGTGTCAGTAAACTTTCTCAGCCTGAAGTGCAGCAAAGTGAAATTAGACAGAGTAACACCATCAGTCTCAACTGAATAACATTCTCAAAAGTTGGCATCATCATCTACAGAATTGATAATGAGCCTAATAGGCTAATATACACCCACATACTACTTGAACTTGGGTCGGTCAAAGCTCAATTCAGTTAGTGAGTTAAAAATCCAATGCTCAGCTCAAAAGCTTGAGAGTAGGTTCGAATATAAATCAAAGAGAACATATGAGTTATGGTTTATGATTGATGATTGATAATACATTTGTACGGGGAGATGTGAATATCATAGCTTGAAAGAATATTTTCTTAAATGGAGTTTGTGATCCAAGCTCAAGCTATTACCCAGCTAGGTCATAAATTACTAGGATCAGGATGTTTGGCTCAAGTTATAATTGGTGTAGCGGAGACTCAGCAAGTCACTGTCAATTGTCTGTCATCTTAAACTGCAGTATTTTGACATGCAAAAAATTAAAGCATTAACTAACTCCCAAGAAAATTATGCAAGGGCTCAAATACCTATGCTGCTCCTTCACAAAATTCTGAGCAAGGCTCTCAACAGGCCCTATGGTTCTGTCATTGCTTACAGCAAATATTGTTTGATCGAACTCCTCTGGAGCACCTTCAGCGGGAGACATCTGTTAACACAACCACGAATAATGTAAAATTTCTTCATAACATTGTAGTATCCAATGGATTCATCGAGGCGCAGGACAGAAAGAGAAATGCAATGTTAAACCAACACCCCCCCCCCCTCTCTTCCCCTCTCAACACAACAACAAAATAAAAGCCTCAAGCAATGAACAAAAGCTTTTAAAAGGTTAAGGAGCTTACAGCCAAAGCGTCATAGTGAAGCCCGTCATAAAGAAGCATAGCCCTTTCACTGAAGTTACGATCCTGGTTTAATACCCAAACAAACAAGAATAAACAAACAGAAGGCTTTAGTATCAAGAATTGGATATTTTTTAGTGAATACAGAAATAAAAAGCATACTGACCTGACCATACAAATCACATCGAGTTGTCTGAATGTCATAAGCTGCTATTTCGCGTCCATAGTAATCAGCTAATATTGAAAGTTCTATAGCCCCTATTAAGTAAAATACAAGACAACTGTCAAGAACCACAAACAACAGTCATAATGCTTGAGAAGAAGATAAACAAAACCAACGACAGCACAAACAAAACATTAAAGAGTTGAGGACTACAGGAGACTGTTTTAATATTCAAAAATTTTCTGAGTTGAGGACTACAGGAGACTGTTTTAATACAGTGGAATGTAATGAACCCATGTTTTTTTTTTTAAAAACCATGACCCCATGCGATTCACAAGCATTTATGAAGCCAATTATATCATAATCATACAGGACATCCATGATTAGAGGCAATACACTCATCAAATATTCTTAGACATGCTCACGCTTGGGAACACCAAGTTTTGACCCTCACACAGCATACATCCACCTCATACAAAAGAAAATACATATTTTTTTTAAAAATGTTCAAAATATAACTCCAATGCCTGGGTTGAATGTAGAGAAGGGCAAAAAGGGCCTACCTACCTATGTTATTGTACACAATGAGGTTTACAATTTCATTAAATAAAGGAATTTTAAATCAATCACAAATAGGTTAGGAAAACCAAGATAACCAGTTTATGGAAAAGCCCCAGAATAGATATAGAGCACAGAAACTAGTCCACTATTAGATTATGGTAGATCATATTCCATTTATAGAAGAAGTTTAATATAATCACAAATAGGTTAGGAAAACTAAGATAACCAGTTTATGGAAAAGCCCCAGAATAGATATAGAGCACAGAAACTAGTCCACTATTAGATTATGGTAGATCATATTCCATTTATAGAAGAAGTTTAATATACGAAGTATTGAAATATACAGACCATTCTATGCAAGACCTACAATTTATCAATTGAGAAAGTTACTGAGTGACTTTCCATCATTTCTACTCCAATTCAAAAAAAAAAAAAAACAGTCAAACTTTTAATTAGAAAGGTAAATTACATGAAATGCCAGGGTAAGCTCACTCATTTAAGTCTATAAAGGCACAGTTCAATATTCAATCTCAGGTGAAATTGTAGTTAATGTTGGAGTGCTCTCCCTGCTCACCAGAGAAACCTTTCATAAAATTTTAATTACTCATCCCAGATTCATAAGTTAGTGTGAAGAAAAAGGTCACTCCTCGTGAAAAATATTTCCTTCATAATCATTAATTTTTTTTATGTATCACAGTTTAATCATGATCATTACAAGACTCCCCTTGGCAAACAAATTGTAAAAGCAAACATTCTTATCAATTACATACCTTAACTTTTTTGACATACACAGATATAATTCCTCATAAACTGGTTTCAAGATTTTCTCAACTATAGCACATAGATTCTCTAGTCTTATACAAGTAGAACATGAGATATGTAATCTGAGTTCTGACATATATAATCAGGACCTAAAGCTCTAAAATGCAACATAGATGAATGTTTAGAAAGCATGAATTCTTTAAGGAATATTAGATAGAAATAACAAAGGTCTAAGCTTAGCAAATGACCAAAACCAAACTCACATCTGACCTAGCAATAGCTGTTTAACATTTTAATTACAGCAGAGTAAATTTAAGGCATCAGGATGCTGATAATAAAACACACAATAAAGTTATAAGCTTCAAATGAGACATTAGGCTTGCAAAATGTCACATATAAGTAGTGATATTTACAAGCCAAAAGAATAGCATGAGGCTGTACCATAATATATCAAGGCTAGAGTTCAACCAAGTTATTATCAGCAGATCAACTTGTAGCTTATTAAGTAAATTGACTGATAGTTATTATAGTATGTAGTAGTAGTAGTATCAATTTTCTTTTCTAGTGGTTAGAGCAACAGAATTAGATTGGTGCCAGAATAAGCGACAGTTATAATGGGCAAGTAATTAATGTGCAGATGGTTGACCAACAGCAGAGCAATGGAAGCATTTATTTCAAAAGAATTTTGTGCATCTAGCAGCGTTCAAGCAAATAACACAAGTTGAAAAAGTCAGCTGAACTTTTGAAAGGTATCAGCTAAAAATAATTGCAAAAGTGGAAAACATGAGCCATGGTGCAATATTTGTTCTGGTGCAAAAAATGGAGCCAAATGGTGTCTGGACATTACAATGATTGGTGTTACACTGTTACTTGATAAAACAAGGTTTAAATAATCAACAGATAACATATATCATCAAATAAAATGACATTTATGGTTTTGGTTTATCAATTTTGCTAAGTATCAGCAAAGAGAAACCGATGAAAAAAGAATAACATGGCAACTTAAGAGACTGCCATGTGGAGAGAACTGCATATGATTCAGAAGATTTAATAGTGATGTTGAAGTTTCTAATCGTTCCAAAGGAATCCACTTTTTGAAAAAATTCAACACCACTACCAAAAGATTACTTTAAAAGAATAAATATTTTCATACTGCGATGATAGATAAAAGTAAGTGTCTACAACACAAAAGATAAAAGGAAGTCAAGAAGTATTCAACTCAAATCCCTCTTATTTTGCTCTTTTTTTTTTTTTTTTGGAAAACCCCCTTAGACAGCGTTTAATGGAGCCTGAATTGCAGTCACGAAGTCAGATAGCTCCACCATTTTAGACCCTATACGTAGAATTATATATTAATATTAAAATCTAAAGAACCACAGCTACATTCGCAACTAGAGCTCCTTCATATTCATTGAGTCATTGCTAGTAATAGCCTGATAAAATTTATTTCTTCTTCCAGCAGCAGGGAGTCCACAAGCCAGTTCTATACTCCTATTTCCTAGCTCCAAAAGGTATTTCCTTAAGTTAGATGATCTAGTGCCTACTTAACAATCAGCAGATGGGCTGTACTTTCAATTCTTTTCAAACATCGGTGAAAAGGTTGGATTAAGAAACCGGAATATGATAGAGAGGAATTTGTATTTATATGGACATGTGAGACTACTTCAATTCTAGTACAGTGAATTAAAAATGATTCAGTTTTGCCATGGCTATATGCTTTAGATGAATTAGTTCAATAAGGCCCATATACAGGGTCTGTTACACATCATGCTTTGACAGGACACATTGAACTTCATTGACCTAATAAAATGAACATTATTTTATTCCAGTATTGGGTAAACTAAATTACATTACTTGTTCTTGGTCAGGTCAAGCCACCATGCCTACTACATCAGAAGAAGGCTATAAAGAGTTCACTTACTAATTTCTATTAGAGTATTAGGTAAACAATTTGGAATCACATGCATGCGACCACATACAGCAACTTCAGCAGATAAAGGATGAGAGCCACTAGGCTTACTTCAACGAATCACAATTATAAATATAAAAGTTCCACCAGAACTAAAAAATATCACTCTTTCAAATTTTTAAGACGAAAAAAAGGAGTTATAACAAACCTCCCCATTTCTCTGAATCAAGAATCCATGCGCAATATTCTTCATTAGTTTTCCCAAGAAAAGCTTCAGAGTATTTCACAGGATCGCTAGACACAGTAGCAGCTATAACCTTCCAAAAATAACCACAGATAATTATTTTTCCTGTTTAGTTAAAGAGGATATGAAAGAAAGAAACAGACTATCTATACATGAAGCCAAGAATTCAACAGTAATATTTTTTATAAACATCCAACTATCCAAGTATCCAATATAAAATAGTTATCTCACATGTTCTGTTTGATGGGAAGTGATTTACTTTACAGAAATCAAAATCAAAACTAACAAATAGATTCTTTAGCAAGAACATATTGTCCCAAATGCAGCTATCACATTGTGCAAATAACAAAGAAGTACATGAGGAAAAAAGCCAGATATTCCCAGAATTCGATTGTTATCATTTTAACAAGGCAGCCAAATCTTTTGTACTGCGCATAATACAATTTATTTGTCAGAAGTCCACAAACAATTTAGCTTCTACTTCATATTTTCCTCCCTCATAATGGATGTGACATACTAATACATACAATTTCAATTATTAATCGAAACAGAAAGGCTAGATGATAAAACGAAGAAGAATCATATAAAATGCAGATACACACCATATTAGATATTTCATCATTCTAATCAATCTAACAACTTATAGAAATTAGCTAGACACTTAGCCCTTGAAAATATCTACTGGTAGTTAAACCGACCAAGAGTCTCACCTGTCTTAATTCAGGAGCCTTTTTACTATCATGATCCATGACATATCTGCAAAAATATGAGCAGTGTGAAATCTGGAAACACTCCGTGCAGTATGGCAAGACAATATAGCTATCCATGGATCGAAACTTACCCAACAGCGTTGAACAGACAGCTGTTATCAGACGGGATTACACGCCTAACAATAATACCTTCCATATTGCAGAACCAATACTACACCTGAAAGTAAACAAAATCACAATCCACACATCAGAATTCATACTGAAGGCATAGGATAAACTAGAACAAAGGATTACAAGGCGATATTGAAGAATTCGGAACGAATTGTGCTTCAAGAAAAATGAACATTGCATAGCATACTGTAATTCAATGTCAGGCATGTAAACTAAAGAAACCAACACAGTATTAATTTCAAATTTGGGGAACTAACAAAAATAATTCAGCAATGATAATGACACAAAGGGGAGTTTAGCTTCTAGAATCCAGCAACAAAGTAAGAAAGAATAACAATTCAAATTGAGTAATTCTTCCTATTCCCCTGAACAAAGAAGCAAAGAATTTCAATAATTTTTCTTAAAAATAATATAATTATATATTGGATTTATAAGAAAAACATGAACAATAAATTGATTTAATTACCCATTATCAGCAGCACCAAAACTATCTAGCTAATACATCCAAGATTAGCAAAATAACCCATAAATCTTCTTGAAGCATCATAAACTATGCATACCAAAAATGTAAATCCACCATCGAAAACAACCAGAAAAATTTTGCAGCAGAAAAATGAAAGAAATCAAAATTGCAACAAAATATTTATTGAAAGACTCACACTTTTTGGAATCTGTTCTTGTTCTGAAAACTAAGAGCTGGAAAAACGAAATTCTCTCTTCAAATTTTGCACCGATTTGTTGGGAAAGGTTTTGTAATTTGTATAGAAGAAAGTTATCTGGGTTTCTAATTTTAATTTGAGAAATCTGCCATTTTTAAGTTGTAGGCTGTCTGATTGGGTCCCACTATATTCCTACCATTTGAGGAAAGGTTGACGAAGGAAGAAAAGAATATTTTCTTTTACTTAAATTTTCATATCCAAATGTACACAAATTGCATGAAAGTTGGTGTGCCTAATCCAAGAAAAATTAAAAAGAAATTTCATGTGTATAATTATTTACAGAGTAATAAAGTTACCAAAAAAAATAATAATAAAATAGTCTTTTAACTTATATTTTTCTAAAAAGATTAGTCACCAAATATTTTTTATTTTTTTATTTTTAGCTCCTAACCAGCACGAGATTATAATTAACGCTTAATTCTTTTACACCAAACACAACTTACACAAGACCTAAAGTGGGGTACAACATTCATAACCAACTAGACAATACAAATAAGGTGATTGACAAATTCCAGAAACTAGCCATAAGATGTTCCGAACTTTTTTTTTAACACTTCTTAAACTTGCTCAAAACGATACTTTTAATATATTTTACCTTTTTTGTTCTTCACCCATGATATGTGCAACCTTCCATGCTTCATTGTCTTGGCTTATAACATGAAGGTAGGGGGTGGGGGAAAAGATTGCACTTGACTGGGTTCAAAAGCCATGAAGGCATCTTCATTAGAACTCACAGATTCCACTTATCAGCAATATCAGTGGTAGGATAGTCTCCCGCGCGAACTTCACTCTCCTCCTCAATGCTTGAACCTTCATCACTGTTATTAGTTAGACAAGGAGAAATAGGCTCATCTTTCTTCTCAACAGTAGTAGTGTTGGGATTACCAAACCCAAGTTCGGGTTATTCAAGACTATTTATGGAAGGCTTAGTGTATAATTAGGATTATTTAAGGTTAAATAATAGTTGGGATTAAAATGAGAAAACATCTTATACTTCGAATTATTCGGGTTATTTTTTCCTAATTTTTTAAAAATAAAGTTATAATTCAATATGTACCTATGAACTACTCCGTACTACGCATTAGTGCATTGGTATTTTATCTATGATAAAAGTCTAAATCAACAATTAAATCCTAAAATTTTTTATCCAAATTTTATTCAAAATAAAGCTCTAAATTTACTTCTTTTTTTTTTTTATCCTACAAAATCTATCCAACTATTTTATCTTTTATTTTACAAAAATCTATTCAAATAAAATCTTAGTGTTACCGCTATGGCAAATTCAGGTTAATATCTTTGATTGCTATACCAAGCAAATCAAGGGGCATTATTGATATTTCACCCGCATTATAAGGGGGTACGTTTGTACGTTTACCATCATGACATGGTATTGGTGTCACGATGCCCTTGCCTACTCAGCAAATTGTTAAACAACCGCTTTTAGCAATCCGTCACGATAACCTTTTGTTCCACTTTCATTGACCGTCAAATTTATTAGGGTTCATTTTTTTTTTCCCCAATTTGATTTCTGCTACCCTCAAACTTAACATTGAAAATCTCCATTTTTGGCTGATTACCCAAATATCTTATGTTGTGCGTTCTTCCTTAGATAATTTGATTTCTCGATTCTAATTGGTAGGGTTGTTTATATTTTTCCCCAATTTGATTTCTGCTATCCTCAAACTTAAGATTGCAATTCTCTATTTCTAGCTATTACCCAAATATCCTTGCGGTTATATAACTCTACTGGATCGACATAAAAATTCACGAAAAGGCTTTCTTACTAAGAGAACTGATGACAAAGAAACAATTTACAAGGGTTTCAAAACCTTCAACTACCTAGTAATTAATACAAAGTACATAACACCACTTGACGACGATATCGTCAACATAAAACATTACCATACGGCGTCATCGAGTTGGGGAAACAAAGTTACATGTAGGTTGGGTACATGTGGAATGTGTTTTATCTGATTCATCATACACATAGTCATTTATCTAACATGGCAGAATAGATTGACAAACTAAGATTAACTGGCAAGTGCTCGTAACCGCTAAGTGTTTAGGCTAAAAATAAAACTTTATATGACAACATAAAATACACAATATTATAATATACACCATTAAATTATTAAACTATATTTTAATATGTGTCTTTCGTAGCAAAAAGAAATTATTATATGACAACATAATATACACAATATTATAATACTAGAATTTTGTTTTTGACAGAGATTATAATACAAGATTTGATCATGAATACATTCACAATTATTGTAATACATGTTAACCTGCGACATCGTCTCGCTCCAAAAACTAATTAGTTAGTTATATGATATGATGTGATAAATTGTTTATTTCATTTACTAGTTTAATCATGATATTGTTACACATTAAAAATTACTTTTTCTATTTCGAACCAAAAAATCACACAGGAAATTGTGAGTTGTTCATTTCATAGTTTTCATTTGCGAATCAAAACTACACAACTAGGCAAAATCAAGGTCATTCCTTTTCTTCTCTTTGTTTCCCTCTCTGAATTTCATTCCGTTAACCACGCACGAACCAAACACCCCCTAATTTCTTAACTCATTCCCCCCAACATTTATAAACCCTTCTTCGCACTTTTTGGAAAACAAAAAAAATTTAATCCAAAATAAAAACCACCACCACATTCTCCACCGCCGGCCACCACCCCATCCTCCGGAGTAGGAGTGTGTGAACAAGAACAAGATATATGGCGGTGAAGTTTGCACCTTTTTTTGTTTTTTATTTTTAATTTTTTTAAATAATTAATAGGATGTTATTGATCTTATTGCATTTTAATTTCAGGGTCTTTGATTTTTTGACTGTTAACGATTTGGGGAATCGCCTGAATTACGTTTGGATGGCTTGGAGGAGGGTCTCTGGCCGAAAGGTTACTTCTTTTTCCTTCAATTTTATTGATTTTGTGTTCTTGTTTTTGAGCTTAGTATGGGTGAATTGTATGAACTAGATTCCATAGCTTAGTAATGTTCTTAATTTAACTCGGATCTTTGGTTTTTTAAACCCTGAGGATAGAGGGGTTTGGGGTGTTAGAAGTTATACAATTGTTAATGTTGAACAATTGATTTTCAATGAATTTATTGAAAGTATGTTTTCGTTTCGGAACAAGTGAAGCTTTTAGAGGGGATTTTACATCTTAAACTCTTAAAGTGGGTGATTAGAGATGGGTCAGGGTCAGATGTCTTTCCTTTGTTTGACAACTAAATTGGCATTGGGCACCTTATACTTTTGCTTGATTGATATAGATTCAATGATCGGGAAGGAAATCGAGCTTAGGATTTGTGATGTCGTTGTGAATGAAAATGATTTCTTTATAGATTCATGGTTACAAAGTCTATATGTAAAAAAAGAAAAAGGGGTTCACTCCTTTTGATGCCACTTCTGTTTATGGCCTTGAGGTGGATAGTAAATTTGATGGTAATACTCTTATTTTACTGTTTATAAGAGTGTGATCATTAAGATGATGATTTAGTTTTGATTTTTAAAATCCTGGTTCAGCATATTTTTCAGAGATATTGCTACCAATTTAACACTTGCACTGAGAAATATATTTAGTCATTTATGCACCTGTTGTCCCAATATGACAATCCGGAGACTTGACACTCTATCCGATACCTTTTCTTTTTCCCTCCTGGGGAGTGGTTCCTGAAAGTCTTGCTATATAAAACTCCTTTGAAATAACTTGCCATAGATATCCTGTTTGTTTGCATGGTGAGGGTACTGACCTGAAATGTCGGAGATGCCTTCTATTGGAAGATAAGTAGTTGGAAAAAACTTATTTCCTAGTATGACTCTACCCTAGTTGCCTCTTTTCTAAATATGATAATGAATATATTCTTTAATCAAGTGAGATATGAACTGACCTGCTTTAGTACTGGATGGGTCACAGTGAATACCATATTTCTCTCGAAGACAATGCACTTGTTGCTGGTTTGCCAGAAATTTAGAAAAAAAAAGCAAGAACATGAAAATTTGGTCTCTGAAAGAAAACATTTCAAAAGTGTGGTTAATGTTGAAATTCTCGATTTCAAGTTGGCCCTGTTCATTTGCAGTTTTGCACAGTAATAGGGCTGAGATTAATTGGCGTTCTTGATCCTATACAATGATAATAAGCTGGACATTATAAAATTAATAATGCAAGGGAGGTGTAGCCCATAACCTTCTTGCTTACTTAATTCTGGACTGCTGAGTTATCACGGACACTATGAACCTTTTGAGTTCTACTTTCATGAAACCAACCTGTAGTTCTAGCGGTTTAAGATCCTGGATTGGTCCATTCTCATTGGCCAGGTCTATGAATGGTCCACCCACCACCTTTGTTATGACATATCCTAGTTTTCTGGATTTAGGCTTGCCTGACTCCATCCCAGGCCCTGATTGAGCTTCGACCGTCCATACCAGGTATTGGTTCCAGTATATAAACTTCAGAACATTCTCTGTCACGAACAAAGAGCTCTAGAGTCTTGTGATACCTTTTTCCCCCCTTCTTCCATCATCTTTGACTGTGGGCATCATTGTTCTGGTTCTGTTTGAGTGCAAAAAAGAATACACTGGAATATTATTTATTGCGTTTATTTATTAAGTATGTACATTTTTCTCATAATTCGAGGAAAATGATTTCAACATTGTGTTTTTTCCTTCCTGCTTATTGTAGGTAACTTATATTGCAAGTCTAGCAAACTCTTTGGCTATTCCAGCTCCTGGAGGTGCATCGGTGTCAAGATCTTACTCCAAGCATGCTATTAGGTCAATCTTAGAATCAGAGATATGGATGTCAGGTAAAGTCAAAATGTGCTTTTCCTATCTGCTAGTCCTGTTCTCCTGTATCGGTTTAATTGTGACTGGCCTTTGATAGGGTTCATTTATCTATTACAGTATTATTTTATGGAAAGATAATTCTTCTAATTTTCTAATGACTAGTACCTTTTCCTTTCAATTTTTTTTTACTTTCTTTTTTTTTTCCCCCTTTGTGTGATTGTGTGTTTTGACTATGTAAGGAGGCTAGTGGAGATAGTTTTTTTTTTTTTTTTTTTTTTTTTAAGAGTTTTATGTACAACCAGTTTAATAACCTGTAAGTTGGAACTAATGACATGTACTCTATATAGTTCTCTCTTTTGAAGGTTTTTTAAAAACTAGCTAGACAGATCTTAATTTGACTCAAA